TATCTATCTATCTATCTATCTATCTATCTATCTATCTATCTATCTATCTTTCTATCTATCTATCTTTCTATCTATCTATCTATCTATCTATCTACCTATCTATCTATCTATCTATCTTTCTATCTATCTATCTTTCTATCTATCTATCTATCTATCTGTCTTTCTGTCTATCTATCTACTCTTCTCTGCCTAGATGAGCGAGATCTCATCGTGAACGGGTGCGTTGAAAATAGTGTTTCATTTGTTTAGACTGTTAGCATGTTATTACACATATTAACACGAACGCATACCTGCAAGCGCACACGCACATCTGCACGCACAGTACACACGCACGCACGTACGTGCACCTTCGGACATACGCGCAGACGCACATGCGTACACGCTCGCGCTTATGCACACGTACTCGCATGGCTCCTGCATGACAACGCACGCACGCTCCTCCCCGCGTACATGCGGGTTAGACAATGGACACTGCGTCATAGAGAGCACGTTTAATAGTGACACAGCATCTGTCTGTACATCATCTTATATATCAATATCTTATCATCATCAGATTATATATATATACATATATATATATATAATATCTTACCATCATTCGTATCATCATCTTATATATATTTAAATATCGTATACAATAGCGACACAGTGTAGTATAGAACATCTTAAATGGCGACACGGCGTCTCATAGCTTATGCGGGCACTCGCTATCCGCTACGAATCCTCATAATGGCTTTCGAGACGTCGTCCAGCGCAGGCCGTAAGTAAGTGAGTTTGCGAAGGCGAGTCATACCCGTGTACTTATCGCGTCGGCGTAAGTGTAAACTGTTAGCGTGTAGCGATCTCTCGATCACCGATGTGCGTGTCGGGCGGCAGTGACGGGAGCAGTTATAGCGTGGAGCATGTGTAATCCCGGCCACTTGGAAGGAGAGAGGAGCCGAAGAGGAAGGGAGAGAGAAGGAGAGAGAAAGTGGGAGAGGGGTAGGGAGATATATAGAGTGAGGGAGAGATACACAGTGATAGGTGTAGATCTATATGGATAGATAGATAGATAGACAGACAGATAGATAGATAGATAGATAGATAGATAGATTGAGAGATAGATAGATAGATAGATTGAGAGATAGATAGATAGATAGATAGATAGATAGATAGATAGATAGATAGATAGATAGATAGATAGATAGATAGATTGCGAGATAGATAGATAGATAAATAGATAGATAGATAGATAGATAAATAGATAGATAGCTAGATAAATAGATAGATAGATAGATAGATAGATAGATAGATAGATAGATAGATAGATANAAAAAACGCCACCGCGCGAGCGCGTTTGCTGTCGTAGGCACGTCCGACCGATTAAATATTGACGCTTTGTAAGACGTGTGAGCACTCCGCCTCTCTTTCACGGCTCGCCGGCCGGGAAAATTAGAAAATGTATTACTCACATCCCACGCCTTCTCTCACGGAGGCACACTTCATTCTCCCACCCATATACATGCGTTACGTTACAGCGAAGAGGCGAGGTAGGTGGCAGAGAGAGGGGAGAAGGGGTCGGAGCGTGCGGCAAATAACTTTTACATTTAGACGAGGTTTTACACTGAGCGCGATGCGCACAAATTACCTAATCGTTAAGTCGGCGCACAATATCATCAGTAGCAATTTAGTTAGCGAGTAGTAAGCCGGGATAGTGCTTACAGAGTGACAGCTGTTGTCGCGTCGAAATGCCAGTGCGCAGAGTCCAAATTTACACCGCTAAGTCTCGGCTTCGAAAACTTGAGAGTTTATATCAATTTGAATCTAATTCCGTCGTGTGCTTTGTTGTGTGGACTCGCGTAGTGGCATATAAATAATTGCATATATATATATATATATATATATATATATATTTATGTATGTATTTATACATACACACGCATGCACGCACACACATACACACGCATGGCGAGCAAGACACCCTCGCCACGTAAGCATATAGCTTTGCTAACACAGAGAAACCACAGCAACGGCACTGTGGTCAAGGTCCTTTGTTCCCCAAAATGAAGCCAGTAAGCCAAACTATATGCAGCGCACCGCGCTCTGTTCGTCTCGTATCGCACATGCTACAAAGCGCGGTGCCCCGGTGTAATAGCTATTGACGACACGCTGTTCCTTGATATATCCGCGCATCTGTCGACAGACCATCGTTCTTTGATCTCTCTTATCGATTTATTGTCACTTTCGTCGATCTAACGGCTGTTTATAAGAATAAATAGCTCAAATATCGACATATTCGTTGCAATGTCTCTATTTTCTAAAAAAATAATATCCAGCGGCTCTTTTAACGTTATATCGACATTATCATCGATCTACCTTCTTCATTGTCTATCGGCACTCGGCTCAACTCATCAATTTTCTAATCTCTCTGTCAGCTATATTAGTGATTTATTATCCCACTCAATCTTTCGAATTTGTCATCGATCTATTGCCTCTCTAATCTATCTTTCGACTCTCTCATCAGACACATTACAATGTGTCAGTTCCACCAGAGATCTACCGATTCTCACAGTTCTATTGACACTTATTGATCTATCGCATATGGCTCCCTTATCGATCTATTGACTCGATCATCGATGTATCGACTTCCTCATCGCGCTACTAGCTCTAGCATCAATATATTGACTCTCGGAGACATGGGATCTCTCATCGATCTATCGACGCTCACATCGCGCTATCATATCGATCTATTGACTCCCTCATTAATATATCGACTCTCTGAGACACGGGATCTCTCATCAATATATCGACTCTCTGAGACATGGGATCTCTCATCGATCTATCGACGCTCACATCGCGCTATCATATCGATCTATTGACTCCCTCATTAATATATCGACTCTCTGAGACACGGGATCTCTCATCAATATATCGACTCTCTGAGACATGGGATCTCTCATCGATCTATCGACGCTCACATCGCGCTATCATATCAATCTATTGACTCCCTCATCAATATATCGACTCTCGGAGACACGGGATCTCTCATTGATCTATCGACGCTCACATCGCGCTATTTTATCGATCTATTGACTCCCTCATCGAGCTATCGACGCTCTCCTGCGGCGCGCGCTTACCTTGCAGGTACGGCAGCAGCACGCACGTGAAGGAGCCGAATATCCAGCGCTGCAGTATGCCGCCGACGAGCGTGAAGGGCATACAGAGGAGGCTGAGCAGCAGGTCGCTAACGCTCAGGTTGAGCAGGAAGACATTCGTCACCGTTCGCATGCGCTTGTTCTGCACGAGCGTGACTATGACGAGAACGTTGCCGACGACCGACAGCACGAAGATCAGAGCGTAGAGCGTGATGCGCACGGCTATGTCCAGATCGACCGACGACCGCAGTGCCCACGCTGCCGACGACGACGTCGACGACGGCTCCGTCGCGTTTCCGGCCGTTGTCGATTCGAAGGAAGAAAGGTGGCTGATCGTCTCGTTAGCTTCCTCCATGATGCCTGTAGTGGAGGCGAATTCGTAAAACGAGGGAGGGAGGAAGAGAAGGAGGGGAGGAGAGGCGGTCTTCTCCGTCCGTGCTGCGCAGACACTGAGCGAGCGGACTCGGCGATGCGGGGATGGTGCGGCGGCGTCGCTGTGGTGGCTGGCGTTGATGTGCTGGCAGTAGCGTGCAGCCAACCGCGCTCTGCTCTCACTCTCTCTCTCTCTCTCTCTCTCTCACACACACACACACACTCACGCGCACACACGGCGCGCTGACCGGAATGTATGCGCACCGACGATTGGCGCGGGTGTGCACGCGTGCGTGCATGCGCGTGTTTGTGCGTGTGCGTGCTCGGCGCCCCGTGCGGCCGCGTGCGTGCTGATTATTTACACGGTGGCGAATCAGCGGCTGCATGCGATGAACATAACACCATGAGAGAGAAAGAGAGGGGGAAGGATGGGCTGAGGAAAGAGAGAAAGAGGAGAGGAGCGAAATAAGTGGTGAGCGAAGAAAGAGGGGGAATAGAGAGAGAGAGAGAGAGAGAGAGAGAGAGACAGAGAGAGAGAGAGAGAGAGAGAGAGAGAGAGAGAGAGAGGGGCCTGTGGATGAGGAGAGAGATAAGAGAGAGAGAGAGGAGTGTCAGCGCGCCGGCGTGAGAGAGTAGAGAGAGACGCGCGCGAGAAAGAAGAGAGCGACGCCGGTGACGAAGGCGCGGTACGGAGTTAGTGCTAAATAGGGAGAAGCCGGGCGGAGGAGAGGGGAGAGAAAGATTTTTAGTTATATTCAACTAGCCTTCTATTGCTGCAGTAATTTTGTTCAGATTTATGCGTATCCAAAAAATACACTACGATTAAATTCTATCTCGGAGCGCGAGTATTAATATATATATATACAGGCCCGTAGCCAGCTTTGTATTGGGGGGGGGGGGGTTCGTTTTTAATGTTGCAAGTTTTGCTCGGCAGGGGCGGATGTACAGGCATTTGTACCAGGGGGGGGGGTCTAACCGTAACCGAAGTTGCGGAGCACGCGAAGGGGGGTTCTTAAATTTTTAAATATTACACCCCTCAGATGGTTTTCTGCGGCGAGCAAGGTGGCGGTCGGACTCCTGACCCCCTGTACACGCCCTGCTTCGGGGGCGCGAAGCGACAGGCGAGGGAGCAGCGACCCGAGCGGGGGAGGGCTGCGGGACGGGGGTGTTCACTGTTCACGCTCCCGCACGATGGAGATTTTGCAATTATTACACTAGAAATAGAGCGACTGAGGTGAATTTCTTGCCAAATTTTAAAAAAAAATTTTTTTGGCTTGGGGCGGGGGGGTTCGTTCGAACCCCCGACCCCCCCTGGCTCGGGCCTGTATTATATATATAATATATGGTGTGTGTGTGTGTGTGTGTGTGTTCTGTGTTGTGTGTTGTCGTGCTGTGTGGTGTGTTGTGTGTGTAAGTGTGTGTGGTGTGTGGTGTTGTTGTGTGTGTGCGCTTACTCTTTCCACCTTCTTTCGCGATATCCCCATCCTCACTTTAATTTAAATACACAAAGCATTTTGATCCACCCACAACGTTTCTTCGTCCGTAGTTTTAGTCCTACTTTGAGCGAAAAGTGACTACTTACAAAACTAGACAGAGGGCACTCAAAGAGAATGCATACCTCCGCGAGCGTGTAACATTGTATACATGTGTATAACAGCTGGCTCGTCTGCTGGCTGCTTGCTGACTGGACGCCTTAAGGCGAGCTGCTGCTGACTGACGCCCTAAGACGAGCTGGTTGCTGAATCGATCGCGCCCAAGCGTTGGCAGTGCTATAACAGCTGGCTCGCTGTCCCTCACACACACCGAACACACACTAACGAACTACAGCACACGAACACAACACGAACATCACACACGAACACACACACGAAGAGCGATCACACTTATCTCCCTGCAACTCCGTTGCGCGGAGGTAACTAGCCAGCCTCTGGCAACACGCGTGCCCGCGCCGCAAACATTTATCTAACACACAACCAGCGTTTACATAACGTCCGTCAATCGAATCTTGCCACGATACATCATCACCGGTCCACGATGACGACCTAATGACGTCATAACTGATCCGTGACGTCGCCTCTGTAACGCCATCGTCGGCAGCAGACTCAGTAATTAGCGATGCTGGTGCTGGTGCTGCTGTTGTTGTCGCTGTTGTTGGTAACGCGGTTGATGTTGTTGTCGCTGTTGTTGGTAACGCGGACATTGCCAACAACAGCAACAACAACAACAGCAGCAGCAGCAGCCGCAACAACAAGAATAACAACAGCAACCTCAGCCGCGTTATTACCAACAACAGCGACAACAACACGCGGCTGCTGCAGTTACTGTTGTTATTCTTGTTGTTGCGGCTGCTGCTGCTGTTGTTGTTGTTGTCGCTGTTGTTGGTAATGCGGCTGCTGTTGTTGTCGCTGTTGTTGGTAACGCGGCTGATGTTGTTGTTGCTGTTGTTATTCTTGTTGTTGCGGCTGCTGCTGCTGCTGTTGTTGTTATCGCTGTTGTTGGCAATGTGGCTGCTGTTGTTGTCGCTGTTGTTGGTAACGCGGCTGATGTTGTTGTCGCTGTTGTTGGTAATGCGGCTGCTGCTGCTGCTGCTGTTGTTGTTGTTGTCGCTGTTGTTGGTAACGCGGCTGCTGCGGTTGCTGTTGTTATTCTTGTTGTTGCGGCTGCTGCTGCTGTTGTTGTTGTTGTCGCTGTTGTTTGTAACGCGGTTGATGTTGTTGTCGCTGTTGTTGGTAACGCGGCTGCTGTTGTTGTC